TCATTTCTACCATTTCTATCCATCCTGATCATTAACTTCTTCAACTTATCCTGGCATCGATCTGGTGATCTTCCTACTGGCAATTTCTTTCTCTTGATACCTAGTCCAGTTTCTCTCTGGTACAGCGATGGTCGATTCTTTCTGAAACTTGTCATGCGCTGTTCACCGTATTAGATGGAAATCTGAGTAAGCGTCTTCACAGCTCGCCAGGCGTCGAGAAATATGAGGAATTTAAATAGACTATAGAAACTTTGGCTCTTCAGACAGCGGCACTGTCTCTTATATAGATAATTATACTTGTTATTTTTAGTTTATATTCTCATACAAAGGATATCTTGTGTGTAGCCAGGGGCTAAACATAACCAGTTAGCTACGGAGCTACGGCCTGCTATCAAGTTGTTGCATTCAAGATTTTTCACACAATCCTGTGCAGGATCCAAAATAACAGCTTCTTATCAACATTTATGTTAGTTTCAGATGGTCCAGACTAGTGTCCTCATTGATTTCAGAATGAGTTCATTTGCAGATATGACAATTTATGTTGTTTATATGGCCTTTAACTGATGTACTTGCCTCAGATCAATATTCAGGTTTTGGTATTTTCTTATTTTCTGCCCCATGCTATTTTGTACATTAATTTCTTATGTCTTGTTGCCTTGATCCAAGATTAATATGTCCGGACGAGTGTGATCAATGGCTTGATCGATGAACACAGAATTGTCAAAAAAGTCAATAAATTCGTCATCTTTATGCACACTCTATGTATGCAGTATTCTTATGGTAACGTTAAACATCAAAATACTGCAAATTTGCCGTTTACAGAATACCCCGCTAAATTGAACAGCCGCGCACAGTGGCACTGAAACATCTCATTAATTCAGAACATCAACGTTCGAAGCGATCTTTAGTCAGAGTAACCAGTTTTACTGGTTTCTTCGTTCAAGTTTTGTAGAATAACTCTTAGGGCGCATGAAACGCAACAATTGACTCAGAAATTCTCCTTGAATACAGTTGTAAGATCCCTGAATAGAATTCATTCGATGACTAACACATCAACATGTATTCCTTTCTGCCATCATTCAGCCTTCAGCATTCAATCAGCCGTGTAAGAGCAGGAAAAGAAGCAACTCCTTCCACAAAATTCCGCCTGTAGCTTGCCGAAGGTCAGATCAGTACCCTGTCGTACGTCATGGACACAGTTGTTTTAATGGAGGAGCAAGAACAGCGGTCAAGCTGCGCACAACAACACTGCTTCCATCGCACAATGATG